GAAAACCTCACAGTATCGAGAGCTCGGAGCGAATCCAGCTATCTGGGACGTATAACGTGCGGAAGGGAAAGCTGCAGCTCCCGGTGAACCGCTGGAGCCGCCGGCAGGTCATTTTATGCGGCACGTGTCTGATGGTGTCCTCGGTGAAGGCCAGCCATACGGGGAAGATGCACATCCTGCCCCTGATTGGAGGAAAGGTACTGAACCCTGCGTATTATTATTATTATTATTATTATACATATTAACTTTATTAAACACTCATAATGAGTGCACGATGAGGACAGAGGAAGAGCCGGGACACACCAAGAGTTCTTTCAGGACTCTCATCAAGATTCTTCATGTTCATCTTCAACGCCTCCTCCTTCATGCTCAATAATGTTGATATCTGGTGACTGGGCTGGCCAATCCTTTGATGTGGAGGCTGAAGTATGAGGAGGAGCGCTATCCTGCTGGAGAATTGTCCCTCTCCTGTCATCCTGTGGTTCTTCTCCAAATGTCTTGATAGCTCAGGCTGTTGATGTTGCAGATCTCTCGCACGCCCCCATACTGACTGAACCCCAAACCATGACTTCTCCTTTACCAAACTTGACTGATTTCTGTGAGAATCTTGGTCTATGCTGGTTCCAGTTGGTCTTCTGCAGTATTGGTGATGATTGGGATGCAGATCAGCAGATAGAAATCCACCTTGTGACACTTGATGATCAACTGGAAGTCAGTAGTGTGTCCGGCTAGTGTGTTTGCTGTTTTCCACATAGAGCTGCACAGACAGAGGTGAGCGTCACAGTCAGAGCTGCTTGACACTGCAGGAAACACACGGCTCTAATACAGCTCACAGGCACTCAGTAGTGTTTACTTCAGCCTTCAGCAGCTCTTGTGGACAATATCCTGCACAATACTCTTCTGTCTTGTGTACATGAGTAGTCTGTGTCAGGGTAAGTGTGGAGTTCAGTATGTGCAGTAGATGTACAGCTCGCTCATGTGTAGGTGTACTGCAGCTCTTGTGTCCGGTGCTGTGTTCATATTCATCATCCTTGTGTTCATTAATGGTCCTGCGAGACTCCACTGCTTACTGTAGTGTAGGATAATCTGCAGCAGCAGTGAGCTGGTGATCCTGTCTGATGATGATGATGTGTGTGTGTTTGTGTGTGTGTGTGTGTGTGCAGGTGGAGGAGGTGAAGAAACACAGCCACTGTCTGGCCTTCAGCTCGGCGGGTCCTCAGAGTCAGACCTACTATATCAGCTTCGACAGCTTCACTGAACACCTGCGCTGGCACCGGCAGGCTGCGAAGGTCAGTGTGTGTGTGTGTGTGTGTGTGTGTGTGTCTGTGTGTGTCTGTGTGTGTGTGTGTGTGTCTGTGTGTGTGTGTGTGTGCGCACATGTTTACAAACTTGTATAATGTCATGCTGTATGACACTGGTATTACAGAACATGAGGTGAATCATGAGGACAGTGCTGATGTCACTATTGCACTGCTTTGTTTTCATTGGTCAGATTGCATTACTCTGCTCTGATTGGTCAGATTTCATTACTCTGCTCTGATTGGTCAGATAGCATTACTCTGCTCTGATTGGTCAGATTGCATTACTCTGCTCTGATTGGTCAGATTGCATTACTCTGCTCTGATTGGTCAAATACCATTCCTCTGCTCTGATTGGTCAGATAGCATTACTCTGCTCTGATTGGTCAGATTGCATTACTCTGCTCTGATTGGTCAAATACCATTCCTCTGCTCTGATTGGTCAGATAGCATTACTCTGCTCTGATTGGTCAGATTGCATTACTCTGCTCTGATTGGTCAAATACCATTCCTCTGCTCTGATTGGTCAGATAGCATTACTCTGCTCTGATTGGTCAGATTGCATTACTCTGCTCTGATTGGTCAAATACCATTCCTCTGCTCTGATTGGTCAAATAGCATTACTCTGCTCTGATTGGTCAGATTGCATTACTCTGCTCTGATTGGTCAGATTGCATTACTCTGCTCTGATTGGTCAGATAGCTTTACTCTGCTCTGATTGGTCAGATTGCACTACTCTGATTGGTCAGATTGCATTACTCTGCTCTGATTGGTCAGATAGCATTACTCTGCTCTGATTGGTCAGATTGCATTACTCTGCTCTGATTGGTCAAATACCATTCCTCTGCTCTGATTGGTCAAATAGTATTACTCTGCTCTGATTGGTCAGATTGCATTACTCTGCTCTGATTGGTCAGATTGCATTACTCTGCTCTGATTGGTCAAATAGCATTACTCTGCTCTGATTGGTCAGATTGCATTACTCTGCTCTGATTGGTCAAATAGCATTACTCTGCTCTGATTGGTCAGATTGCATGCTGTGTGCGACTTGCTATGTGTACCAAACATATAGATGTAATTGGATTTGCATTTTACAATTTAAATTTAATGTAAAACATCAGTAATAAATTATTATGTGATTATTTTTAAGTTTTCTGTCCTCCTGAAATCATTCTGCATAAGTTAGCAGATTTAATTATATTCTGTGCAGTAATAGCTAACACTCTCAGCATTGTGTGTGTGCGCCTGCTCATTAGCATGTGGCTCCTGATTGGTCGGCTGTGAAAAGGTCTGTCATTGGTCGCGGTTTGTCCTGACAAGGACACCCATCGCTCCATCAGGGAGATGTGTGTGTGTGTGTGCGCGTGCGTGTGTATGTGTGCGTGCGTGTGTGTGTGTGTGGAAGCCCTAGTTGTGAGTCCTACTTTAGCACGCTTCACTATGAAGGCAGCATCCTGAAGCAACACAAGTAGGGCAGGGCAGTGCGCGCCGGGAGCCTCAGATTAGCAGCAGAGACTGCGGGAGGGATTACTGCATACACACCTGCTGATTGGCTGACTGCAGATCACCTGATCATACACCTGTGACTCAAGAGATACTGCCAGAGGTGTCATCCAGCGCACAACTACTAAAAACAACACTGCATTTCAATAGTGTTATTATTATTGTTTTACTGTGTGTGTGTGTGCGTCCGTGTATGTGTAGTGATGTTCATATATGTGTAGTAATGTGTGTGTGTGTGTGTGTGTGTGTGTGTGTGTGTGTGTGTGTGTGTGTGTGTCCATCAGATGGTGTCTCAGAGGATCAGCTCAGTGGATCTGTCCTGCTGTAGTCTGGAGAAGCTTCCTCCAAACCTGCTGTTCAGTCAGGATCTGACGCACCTCAACCTCAAACACAACTTCCTTCCTGCCGACCAGACGCTGCTGCAGCTCCAGAGGTCAGTCAGGGGTCACGAGGACACCAACACTCCCACTGTAGCATGACAACACTCTGATTAAGGGTCCACTGTGTAGATTTCTGATGACAATGATCTGACTAGGCGACTCAGCACTGTCACCTCACAGCAATCAGGTTGCTGGTTTGAGTCCCGGCTTGGTCATTGTGTGTTTCTGTGTGGAGTTTGCATGTTCTCCCTGTGTTGGTGTGGGTTTCCTCCGGGTGCTCCGGTTTCAGTCCACACACATGCGCTATAGGGGAACTGATCAACTACACTGGCCGTAGTGTATGAGTGTGTGTGTGAATGAGTGTGTATGGGTGTTTCCCAGTACTGGGTTGCAGCTGAAAGGGCATCCGCTGTGTAAAATATATGCTGCAGTAGTTGGCGGTTCATTCTGCTGTGGCGACCCCTGATGAGTAAAGGGACTAAGCCAAAGGAAAATGATGTCATAATGCAACTAACACAGCCACGCCCCTCCAGCTGTCAGTTTGGACATCGCTATGACAACAAGCAGAAATGGTGTGACAATGCTGGAATAACTCTCCCCAAACCCTTCTCCACATCCTTCTGAATGAAACGCCCACTTTACCACAGCCAATCAGCTCACAGTAGAAAAAACAAGCCACGCCCACTGTTTTCTCATTTAATATTCATATAATAAGCGGAGTGTGTTGTATTAATAGTGGAGTGTGTTGTGTTAATAGTGGAGTGTGTTGTGTTGTTATTGAAGTGTGTCTCTGCTGTGTGTTTCCGCAGGTTCAGTCGTCTGCGCAGTCTGAATCTCTCCAATAATCAGCTGTGCAGTTTCCCGCAGGCGCTCTGCTCCATCAGCAGCCTGAGCGAAGTCAACCTGAGCTGCAACCGCCTGCGCTCCATCAGCCCCGATATCGCCCGCATCAGCAGGTCTCACACACACGTTCACTAACACAACCATACACTCTTAATCATGACTTCTGCGTGGTGTCGTGCGCACATGTACACCCGTGTCGTGAGCGTACAGCACTCACGCAGAACCATTAAACACAGCAGCAGGCTGAAGCACACAGGACAGGGTTTCTCTCAAATGAGCTGATGATGTGTCAGTGTGTGAAGCGGAACAGTCTACTCAGACACTCCATTATTCTGCTGACACTATCTGCTGAATATTTCCCTCCATTAAACACAAATTGGGGAAAATATAAGAATTTAAAAGTAGCAGGAGAGCCAATAATGCTGACGAGACTGTGCTGTGCTGCCCTCTGCTGGACACTGCGTAACCTGCATCTCCCTCTGCTGTGCTGTAACTGATGCTGTGTGTGTGTGTGTGTGATGATGATGCGGATGTGTGTGTGAGTGTGTGTGTGTGTGTGTGTGTGTGTGTGTGTGTGTGTGTGTGTGTGTGTGTGTGTGATGATGATGATGATGATGATGCTGATGCAGATGTATGTGTGTGTGTAGCCTGCAGACGCTGGTGCTGGACGGTAATCTGCTGTGTTCGCTGCCGCTGGAGCTGGGCTCTCTGCACCGGCTGGTGTTTCTGGGTCTGTCCTTTAATGAGTTCCAGCAGGTTCCGCCGGTGCTGGAGCGGCTGCCCGCGGTCGAGAGGCTCTGCATGGCGGGAAACAAACTGACAGAGCTCAACCTGCAGAGCTTCAGACTGCTCACCGTCAGACACGTGGACCTACGGTGAGCACACACACACACACACACACACACCATCATCATCATCATCACATGATGTGTACATGTTCAATGAAGTGTGTTTGTGGAAGGCTATTCCACAGTTTAGGAGCCATATATGAGAAGGCTCGAGCTCCTTTAGTGGACATGGCTATTCTGACAACTACAAGAAGCCCTGGATTAGAGATCTTGTCATCGTTCTCACACACACACACACACACACACACACACACACACACACACACACACACACACACACACACACAGCATCATAATGTGATCGAGGCTCTAGCAGTGATTATGCATGCTTGTGCTTGTGTGTGTGTGTGTGTCTGTGTGTGTGTGTGTGTGTGTTCAGTCTGAATCAGATCTCCAGTGTGCTGCGGGACGAGCCGGAGTTCTTGCGCGGGGTCACTCAGCTGGACCTGCGGGATAACTGTCTGCAGGAGCTGGACGCCTCCGTGTTCCCCCGGCTGGAGGTGCTGCACTGCCAGAGGAACCGCATCTCTCAGCTGCGCGTGTGCGGCGCTGCGCTCAAAGCTCTGCACGCATCCAACAACGGTACACACACACACACACACACACACACACATATATGCTCAAAGCTCTGCACGCATCAAACAACAGTACACATACACTCACACACACTCATGCATATGCACACTTTCACTCAGATGCATATACACACACACACACGTCTGATCCTCATGCTGTGTGTTGCCCTCCTTAGAGTTGCAGGAGATTCTGGTCAGTCCTGCTGCCTCAAACCTGACGTACATCGACATCTCCAGGTGTGTTTCCTCACACACATCACAGCAAACACACACCTGAGCGCATTACTGGCTGCTGGTGAAATAAAAAAACAATAATACACTCATCCAATAACCCCCCCCCCCCTCTCTCTCTCTCTCTCTCTCTCTCCTCCAGGAACTGTATGAAGGCTCTTCCAGACTGGTTGAGTGACAGCAGGAAGCTGGAGGTTCTGGACATCAGTCACAATCAGATGACGGAACTTCCTCCATGGTGAGTGTGTGAAGTGCCTGAGTGTGTGTGTGTGAAGTGTTGACCTGTGTGTGTGACATTTTGACCCGTGTGTGTGTGTGTGTATCCGCAGGTTATTGTGCAGCTCGAGTTTGAGGAAGATTCTGGCGGGTCACAATCAGCTGAAGCGTCTGTCGGAGCGGGTGGAGCGCCCCCTGGTGGAGGTGCTGGATCTACAACACAACCAGCTGGAGGAGCTGCCCTGCAACCTGTTCCTCAAGACTGATAGGTCAGGCAGACACACACACACTGGCACATATATAAACACACACATATAAACACACACACACACATATATATAAATAAACACACACACACGTATATAAACACACACACGTATATAAACACGCACATATATAAACACACACACACACACACACATATATAAACACACGCATATATATATATAAACACACACACACGTATATAAACACGCACAAATATATAAACACACACGCACAAATATATACATAAACACACACACACGTATATAAACACACGCACATATATAAACATACACACACATATATAAACATACACACACATACATACACACACACATATATAAACACACACACATATATATAAACACACGTATATGAACATACACACACACACACACGTATATAAACACACACACATATATATAAACACACGTATATGAACATACACACACACACACACGTATATAAACACACACACACATATATAAACACACGTTTATAAAGACGCACATATATAAACACACACGTATATAAACACACACACATATAAACACACACACATACATATATAAACACACATGCATATATATAAGCACACATACACGTATATAAACACACACACATATATAAACATACACACGTATATAAACACACACACATATAAATATATATAAACACACACACACATGTATATAAACACACACACACATATTTAACACACATAACACACACACACATTCAAGTCCACACACAGTCACACACTCTTACATGCGCTTTATTTCTGAATAATAATCTCTAGTGTGTTGTTTTGCAGTGCTGCTCAGTGTTTGTTTGTTGATGCTTTACTGATTGTGTGTGTGTGTTTGTGTTGTGTTGTGTTGTGTGTTCTCAGTCTGCGTTGTCTGAACGTGTCGGCCAATAAGCTCGAGAGTCTGCCAGCCTCCAGCCTATCAGAGGAGAGCAGCAGCATCTTACAGGAGCTCTACCTGACCAACAACCTGCTGACGGACAAGTGTGTGCCGCAGCTGACCGGACACACACACCTGCGCATCCTGCACATGGCCTACAACCAGCTGCAGACCTTCCCCGCCAGGTGACACACACACACACACACACACTGGCACGCACACAAACACACTCACACATGGCTGAATGCTTAGGTGTGTGTGGTTTACATTTACATTTACATTTACATTTAGTCATTTAGCAGACGCTTTTATCCAAAGCGACTTACAAATGAGGACAAGGAAGCAATTTACACCACTAAGAGCAACAATGAATAAGTACTAAAGGCAAGTTTCAGGTCTGTAAAGTCTAAGAAGGGAAGTGTTAGTAAAAATTTTTTTTTTTTTTTTTTTTTTTTTTTGTACAGTTAGTGTGATATTCAAATAGGCAATTGCAGATTAGGAAGTGAAGTGGAGACTAAATAGTTGAGTTTTTAGTCGTTTCTTGAAAGTAGCGAGTGACTCTGCTGTTCTGATGCAGTTAGGGAGTTCATTCCACCAACTGGGCAGATTGAGCGTGAGCGTTCGCGAAAGTGATTTTTTTCCTCTTTGGGATGGAACCACGAGGCGACGTTCATTCACAGAACGCAAGTTTCTGGAGGACACATACATCTGCAGAAGTGAGTGCAGATAAGAAGGTGCTAGGCCAGAAGTCACTTTGTAGGCAAACATCAGAGTTTTGAATTTGATTTATCTGGTTGAATGCTCATGTTTTGTGTGTGTGTGTGTGTGTGTGTGTGTGTGTGTGTGTGTGTGTGTGTGTGTGTGTGTGTGTGTGTGTGTGTGTGTGTGTGTGTGTGTGTGCAGTGCGTGGATCTGAGCTGTAATGAGCTGAGTGACATCACGTTACCGGAGACTCTTCCTCCTAAACTACAAGAGCTGGACCTGACAGGGAACCTGCGCTTAAACCTGGACCACAAGACCCTCGAGCAGCTCAAGTATGACACACACACACACACACACACACACACACACACACACACACACACACAGATATGGATGAAATTCCATTGTGTATTATGGGATGTCTGTTGATTGGTCTCTTCTGTGTGTTTTGGCTTTCAGTAACATCCGCTGTTTCCGGATAGACCCGCCCCCATCGTCGTTTTCAGCCAATGAGGCGTCAGGAGGGCCGGCGGTCTGGAGTCATGGTTACACTGAAGCATCCGGCGTTAAAAACAAGTGAGCTCACAGACACACACACACACACACACTCATAAACACAGATACACTCTCTCTCTCTCTTATACACACACTCTTGCACTCTTTTTCTCTCTCACACACACACACACACGTGCCCAGACCCTACCCACATGAACATGCACACAAAAACACGGTATATAGAATCATCATTTTAAAGCATGTGTGAGTGTCTGACTCTTTCTGTGTGTGTGTGTGTGTGTGTGTGTGTGTGTGTGTGTGTCAGGCTGTGTGTAGCAGCGCTCTCCGTCAACAGTTTCTGCGGCAGTAGGGAAGCTCTATACGGAGTGTTCGACGGCGACAGGAACGTGGAGGTGCCGTATCTGCTGCAGTGCACCATGAACGACATCCTGGCGGAGGAGCTGCACAGGACCAAGAGTGAGGAAGACTACATGACCAACACCTTCCTCGTCATGCAGAGGTACACACACACACACACACACAAACACACTGACCATCAGCTCAGTAAGTAAGAGCATTACTTCAGTTAGATGTATGTCAACATACTGAAAGCCCCGCCCCCTACTCAATATTTAGTTTCAATTGGATGTACATCAACATACTGAAAGCCCCGCCCCCTACTCAATATTCAGTTTCAGTTAGAGGTACGTCGACATATTGAAAGCCCCACCCCTTACTTTGTATTTAGAATGAATTGAAGGTACATCAACATACTGAAAGCCCCGCCCCCTACTCAATATTCAGTTTCAGTTGGAGGTGCATCAATTTACTGAAAGCCCCGCCCCTTACTCTGTATTTGGATTCAGTTGGAAGTACATTAACATGCTGAAGCCCCACCCCCTGCTCAATTTTCAGTTAAAAGTACATCATAATAAAGAAAGCCCCACCCCCTGCTCAATTTTCAGTTAAAAGTACATCATAATAAAGAAAGCCCCGCCCCCTACTCGATATTCAGTTGGATTGTATGCCTGTATGTCATTATTTGTGTGTGTGTGTGCTGATCAGGAAGCTGGGCACAGCGGGGCAAAAGCTGGGCGGTTCGGCGGTGCTCTGCCATATCCGGCATGACCCCACTGACCCCGGTGGCTGCTTCACCCTAACTGCCGCCAACGTGGGCAAGTGCCAGGCGGTGCTGTGCCGCGACGGTAAAGCCCTGCCACTGTCTCTGCTGCACAACATCAGCATCCCGGAGGAGTACAGCCGCATACGCCAGCATAAAGCCATCATCACTGAGGTACAACACACGCACACGCACACACACACTTACACACTCTTGTGTCTGTTAGTGTGTTCAGACTACTGATGCTGAATGATGTAATGCTTAACTGATGCACATCACTCACCTCTGTGCTCGATTTCACTTGTCAAACAGGACAACAAAGTGAACGGCGTCACGGACTCCACACGCATCATGGGCTACTCGTTCCTGTACCCGGCGGTGCTGCCGCGGCCGTACGTCACCACGCTCCCGCTGACCCCCAGAGACGAGTTCTTCATTCTGGGCAGCAGGGGGCTGTTCGAGGCTCTGGAGCCCAGCGAGGCAGTGGAGGCTGTGAGGAAGGTGCCTGACGCCCTAGCGGCCGCTAAGAAGCTATGCACGCTAGCTCAGTCATACGGCTGCACGGATAGCCTGAGCGCGGTGGTGGTGCAGCTGAGCGTAGCTGAAGACTGCTGCTGCTGCTGCTGCTCCACACACACCGCCTCCGCCAGCATCCACCCGCAGCCTCCGCCAAGCCCCGGCCCCAGCCTATATCCGGCAACATCCTCCGGCGCGCCTCCGTCCTCCTGCAGCGAGATCAGCTCTGAGGTCAGCGCATCTGAGATGAGTTCTGAAGTGGGATCTACAGCATCTTCAGACGAGCCGCCGCTTCTCCTGCAGGACGCACACCTCCACCTGCACCCCCACCCGCCACGGGTACAGTGCTGCTCATTACACCTAGCGCCTAACACCAGCGGCTCATTCCAGAGGCAGCTCTCCAGCGCCACGTTTTCCAGCGCACTGTCTGATAATGGGTTGGACAGCGAGGATGAGGAGCCGATCGCTGGTGTGTTCTCCAATGGGAGTAGGGTGGAGGTGGAGGCAGATGTCCACTGCCTAGGGCTCCTGCCTCCACCTTCCACCCCTGAGTTGCCGGAGCTGGACGCAGATAAGAGTCCGGACGCATGGAGCAAGACTTTAGGCAAGCGTCGGGGGAACGGCTCAGTGGCGCCGCAAGAGCGCAGCCATAATCTGATCGAGGTGGCGGCGGACGCTCCGTCCAAGAAAAGCGGGGGTTATTTTACAGCTCCAGCGCAGCCGGACCCTGACGACCAGTTCATCATCCCTCCAGAGCTAGAGGAGGAGGTGAAGGAGATCATGAAGCAGCACCAGCAGGACCAGCAGCGGCCCACCAAGAGCGAGCAGCCCGCAGACTACTACGACACGCCGCTCTGAGGTCTGCCATCACACACTCAGTCAAATCCAGAGAGGATTCCGCATCGATTGGGAGATTGTAAGGATATTTTGCGACTCTCTCTGGAATGGATTCTGAGTGTGGTGTGTACTAACAGATGGCGCTGTGTGCTTTACAAATAGCCATACTTCACTTGGGACCAATTCCTTACACAGAGGACTTGAACCTAAAACAATCATTAATAAAGATAGAGCGCCATCTGCTGATCAGTGCTAGCCTAGAGCATCATCTGCTGTTAAAACCTAGGCTAGAGCGCCACCCGTTGTCCAAAGCTAACGTAGAAAGCTGTTTGCTTTAAAAACTACCCTAGAGCTCCATCTGCTTTTATTATCAAGCCTAGAGCATCATCTTCTGTTAAAACACTAGCCTAGAGCACTGTCTGCGGTTAAACTAACCTAGAGCACCACCTACTGTTAAACACTAGCCTAAAGTGTCGTCTGCTGTTAAACACTGTTGTAGAGCATTATTTGCTGATAAAATCTAACCTAGAGCGACATCTGTTGGTCAAAACTAGCCTAGAGCGACATCTGTTGGTCAAAACTAGCCTAGAGCGACATCTGTTGGTCAAAACTAGCCTAGAGCCACATCTGTTGGTCAAAACTAGCCTAGAGCAACATTTGTTGGTCAAAACTAGCCTAGAGCGACATGTGATGTTCAAAGCTATCTTAGAGCCCATTTGTTCAAAACTAGCCTAGAGCAACATATGTTGGTCAAATCGAACCTAGAGCAATATCTGTTGGTCAAAACTAGCCTAGAGCGACATCTGTTGGTCAAAACTAGCCTAGAGCGACATCTGTTGATCAAAACTAGCCTAGAGCGACATCTGTTGATCAAAACTAGCCTAGAGCGACATCTGTTGATCAAAACTAGCCTAGAGCGTCATCTGCTGTTAAACTAGCCTAGAGCACCCTCTGCTGGTCAAAACTAGCCTAGAGCAACATCTGCTGTTTAAATATAGCCTAGAGCGTCATCTGTTGTTCAAAGCTATCCTAAAGCGCCATCTGCTGTTATACCCTAGTTTAGAGCGCCCTCTGGTGTTAAACACTACCATAGAGCGCCATCTACTGTTAAAAGCCAAGCTCAGAATCCGCTCTGTAGAGAACGGCGCTGTGTTCTGCAGATCTCCTCATGGATGCGGTACAGCTCCTGCAGTGAGTGAGTGTCTGTCAGTATTGAGCGAGCGCCTCTGTTAGCGCTGCTCTGGGCCAAACGGGTGTGTGTGACGCCTCGTCCTTCCAGATTTCCCTTTAAGAGAACACAGGAGTGTCTCCAGCGGTTCACTAGTCTGAAGAGCAGCACACTACTGATGACGGACTGTCTAACACTCTGACTGTCCTCAGAGCCGTCTAGAGTTCAACACTAGCGCTGCCGGACACTCGCTCGGGTTCAGTCTGCACGTGTCCTCTGATGCGAGAGCAGACTGTGAGTTTGCTGATGAGCAGCTGTGAGTCGTGTTGTGCGGTACACCTGAGTAACACCACGCTTACCTGTTGTAGATAGAGCACTTACAGTAGTACTGTTCCTCTGCAGTACAGCGCGGCCTCGGCCACTATTAAACTAGAAATTTAGTGTAAATGTGAAAGACTAACTCCTAGGAGTTGCTCCTCTTATGGTGACCTTATCGTCACTTTACTAATCTTCTCTGAGAGAAATGGTGATTCTTCTTCTTCTTCTCTTTCCCACGAGTGTAAATAAGAGCCATGTTGAATACTGATGCTTTCTACAGGAACCCAGTGTCTAGAACCACACATCAGCACCCTTTACACACACACACACACACCGATAGATCACACACATATACATACACACACACACACATTCACACATACACATTCAAACACACACACACACACATACACATTCACACACACAAGCTCATTCAAACGCTCTCGCACATAAAAACACTCACCCACTCACACACACACACACACACATAAACATACAGATACATATACAAACACGCACACATATACCCACTCACACACACACGCACACACACTAAACATACACATACATACACTCACACACACACTTAAACATATGCACACACTTATAGATACACTCACTCACATTCACACACACAAACTCATTCAAACACTAACCCACAAACACACACACACATACACACACACAAACAAGTACCCACACACACTCTCTCTTTCTCTCACACACATGCACACATTTACACACACACATCCTCATAAAAGCAAGTACACACACTCTTTCTTTATCACACACACACATACACAAATGCACACACGCAAATACACACACACAGACACACAAAAATGTACAAGCACACATGCACTCACTTACACACACTCGTACACACACACTCAAACTTTTATACACTCTAACATACACACTCACTCTCAGTCTCATACACACATTTACACACATACCCTTAAATTACACACACACACACACACTCTGTCACATACATACACACACACTTATACAGACACATCCTCATAAAAACGTGCACACACATACACTCTCTCGCTCACATACACACACCCACACACACAAAAACAAGTACAAACTCTCACACACACATTAAAAGCAAGTACACACATACACACACACACGTTTACACACACACCCCCTTATAAAAGCAAGTACACACTATCTCTTTTACACACACACCCTTATAAAAACAAGCACACACACACTCAGACTCGCGCGCCTCGTCACACCAGCATGACTGTGTCAGTCCTGTAATGCAGAGCAGCTCATCTGTAAGGAATCAAACACACACACACACACACACACACACACAGTTCCTAGTTTTGTTATAATAAATCTTAAATTTATGACTCTAAACTGGCTCTGCTCGTGCTGTTTCTGAGAGTGTGTGTGTGTGTGTGCGTGTATGTCATGTCAATGTTCATTCATTCATTTTCCTACAGCTTCGTCCCTTATTTATCAGGGGTCACCACAGTGGAATGAACCGGCAACTATTCCAGCATATGTTTTACACAGTGGATGCCCTTCCAGCTGCAACCCAGTACTGGGTAACACCTATACACACTCATTCACACACACACTCATACACTATGGCCAGTGTAGTTGATCAGTTCCTCTATAGCGCATGTGTCTGGACTGTGGGGGAAACCGGAGCACCCGGAGGAAACCCACACCAACACGGGGAGAACATGCAAACTCCACACAGAAACACCACCTGACCCAGCCGAGACTCAAACCAGCGACCTTTCAGAGAGTTTATAGCATGTGTTCAGCACTCGTACATTCTCACTCCAGCTGATCTCAGCTCAGTTTACAGCTACAGTGTATTTGAGTTGTGCACATCAGACTCTTCATTTTAAAGCAGATGCGCATCTTGGTGTTTCCATGAAGCATTTTTAATACAATATTCCAGAACGCACACAAAGATCAACAGTATCTGGACGCAGCCTTGATGATGCAAGCTGAGACTGCAGATATCAGTGATGCACTGACAGACAATGGAGCTGCTGACATCACTGAGAGGGGCGGAGTTAGGGGAGCGCATTAAAAAGCCTTGCATGCAGCTCATATTGCATCTGCACCAGGTCTGCATCCAGATGGCAGCTCTCTAATTGAAGAGAACAGACAGGCGTCCAGAATCAGCGTCTCCCTGTGTGTGTTCAGGCTTTGGAGTGTATGTTGTGCATGGTGATGTCGTGTGTGTCCAGTTTGACAGTCTTGCGTCGCTTCTTCACACACACCACACTGACCGCGGTGATGGCCAGCATCAGCAGCAGCGTCAGACCCGCCGCCAGCACCGCCGTCACCACTGTGTGCCGAGTGGAGCTCTTGTGCTGACAGCGCTCGCCGTAATACCACCAGTCACTGCCCACCGCACACCTGCACACACACACACACACACACACACAATCAATAGAGTCACACACAGAGACACAATCAGGGGACCAGACTTGCTAGTGTTGTTTCTAGTGCAAATATCTGGAAACTCTTCAATCAGTCAGCATTTCCCAGCACTCGATGTTGTGTTTGTCCAGAAAATGCTGACTGATTGAAGAGTTTGTAGATGTTTGGGCCAGAAACAACACTAAAACTCTGAGCAAGCCGAGCATTACTGCAGTGTGTGGGTCAGTGGTGTGTGTTACCTGCAGACGGGCTGTCCTGCGTCGTCCTGCACACACACTCCATCATTCTCACACTGCAGCGACACACACGGGTCAGGAGGAGGAACAGTGGTGCTGGAGCTGGAGCTGGTGGTGCTGGAGCTGGTGTGTGTGTCTGCGCTGGTGTGTGTAATGGAGCTGGTGTGTGTGGCCGGGCTGGCTGTAGTGCTGTTGTCTGGGTTTGTGGGTCCGGTGTGAGCCGATGTTGCTGGAGTCACAGTTGTGGACGGTAAAGGCTGTGAAGCGACCAGATCAGAGATATCTAGAGGAGAGCAAACACAGAATGTCAGTGAGTGTGTCGGCAGACGGTCTTCATCCAGTCTCATTAGAACAAACCATTTATTCACGGTGGATCAGTGATCAGCACTGTCGCCTCACAGTAAGAAGGTCTCTAGTTTGAGTCCCGGCTGGGTCAGTTGGTGTTTCTGTGTGGAGTTTGCATGTTCTCCCCGTGTTGGTGTGGGTTTCCTCCGGGTGCTCCGGTTTCCCCCACAGTCCAAACAGATGCGCTATAGGGGAACTGATCAACTACACTGGCCGTAGTGTATGAGTGTGTGTGAATGAGTGTGTATGGGTGTTTCCCAGTACTGGGTTGCAGCGGGAAGGGCATCTGCTGTGTAAAACATATGCTGGAACAGTTGGTGGTTCATTCCGCTGTGGCGACCCCTGATGAATTCGAGACTAAGCTGAAGGGAAATGACTGAATGGTGGTTGTCGGCGCTCACCCTCCATGGTGAGCAGGAATATGGCGTCTCCACCCTTGATGAAGTCCCGGCTCAGGGCTCTGGCCTGGGTCAGGTACACGGGGGTCCCGGCGCCTGGGCCTCGGAAATACTCCGTCCCATTGTCATCAGTCACTTTCACACCAACTTTACGTGGATCATCCCAGAACAGATTCAGAGATCCTGGAAATAAATGGACTGTATTTTGTTATGTTTACATATTCACGTTCGTCAATCACCCCTCCACCCCCCCCAAACAGACATCCAACATGACCATAATATGACCACGAGTGCCTCTAGGAGAGGGACAGTAAGGACGATTCTAAAGGGCCAATGCAGTTTTGGGGTCCCCCCCCCCAACGTCTTTATTTTCATCATCATCCCCCCCAAAACCCCCAAACACTCGAACAGAAATCCAACAAGATAGTATGACCAGAGTGCTGCTAGAAGAAGGAAAGTTAGGACGAATCTAAGGGCCCAAAGTTTCGGGGCCCCCAGAGTTTGTCTAGATTGAATATTGTCCCCCTTCTTCTTCACTTTTTTCATTTAGCCCCCTAAAACATTGATCCCCAATACTCCCAAACAGAATTCTAACTGAAAGTTTTGACAATTCTAAGGGCCTACACAGTTTTATGGGCCCCCAGAGGTACTAATGACCCCCCCCTTCACTTTTGTCATTTATCCCCCCAAACATTCATCCCCAATACCCCCAAACAAGTCCATCAGAATAGTATGACCAAGAGTGTCCCTAGGAGTGGGAAAGTAAGGACAATTCTAAGGCCCCAAGCAATTATTGGGCCCCCAGATATTCTGTTGCCCCCCTCTTCACTTTCATCATTCATCCCTCTTGTAACCCGCCCTCCCAAAACCCCAAAACCCACCAAACAGAAATCCAACAGGATGCTTTGACCAGAGGCGCCGCTAGGGCTGGGAAACTAAGGACAATTCTGAGGGCCCGAGCAGTTTTGGGGACCGCAGAGATACTATTGCCCCTCCCCTTCTTCACTTCATTCATCCCCCCGAACCCCTAAACAGAAATCCAACAGATTAGACCATGAGTGTCTGTAGGAGAGGGAAGGCAAGGACGATTCTAAGGGTCCATGCAGTTTTGCGGCCCCCAGACATTGTTGCCCCTCGCCTCTTCACTTTCGTCATTCATCCCCTCTGTATCCCCTTCCCCTCATAACCCACTACACAGAAATCCAATAGCATGGTATGACCTGGGGCACCGCTAGGGCTGGGAAAGTAAGGACGATTCTAAGGGCCCACACAAATATTTGTCTCCATAGGGCCCGAAACTGATCGCGGCACCCCTGAGTATGACTGGAATCTTAGAGTATTCTCTCACCTTCCACAGTCATGTTGGGGTCGGTGGTCACGCTCCTCTGGTTGGACATGCGTCTGCGGATATCTGCGTTCTGGTCCATCATCATCATGGTCATCTGCTTCCACTGCGCAGGCCACACCAGCCCGCCGTCCACTGCCGCATCTCCAGATACTAAATGAGCATAGGCTCCCATCTCGCCCGGGTTCCCCGCGGTCCCATTGGGGTACAGGCCCATCTGGAAGCTGTATCCGAGTCTGGAAGTGAAGCGCGGGCTGTAGATGGCCGTGTCCATCGGTGTGTTCTCCAGAATGCTCTTGAAGTCCCGGACGATCCACACATGATCAGGACATCGCGTCTCTGAGAGGTTGATGTCGTCTATTGAGAGTCCGCCGGAGCTCCCGGTGCCTTTAGTGCCTTCAAACACCACACGGAACTTTCTGGAGACGTTCAGACTGATGTGCTGAAGCTGCCAGCGCTCGCCTGGAGGAGCTTTCAGATCAACACACAACAGAGTCTCAATCACACACACACACACACACACACTATAGCAGGGGTCACTAATCTTGTTCCTGGAGGGCCGGTGTCCCTGCAGGGTTTAACTCCATCTTGCCTCAACACACCTGCCTGGGTGATTCAAGTATACCCAGTAAGAGCTTGATCAGCTTGTTCAGGTGTGTTTGATTAGGGTGGAGCTAGAATCTGCAGGACACCGGCCCTCCAGGAACAAGTTTGGAGACCCGTAAAGACGGGCTAACA